CCCCAAAACCCCAAAACCCCAAAACCCCAAAACCCCAACCTATAACTCCACCATTGAATCAAAATAAAGAATAGAATATAATATAAACCAGCTCACCGCTTTCAAAATTATGAAATCTTTTCAAATCCTAAAACTTTGAAAGATGCCCATAAGACTTCCAGGCAGTACTTGAGGGGTTGTTGAGTGGGGATTAGAACTTTTAGAAGATTGTAGGACGGCATATTGGGTAAGGGAGAGGGTTGATATTCCATCGCGGTGGGAACTAGAAAGGATTTTGGACAGATTTTGATGAGGCTGAGGATGGGGATTTTCAGCAGGGAAAGTAATTCTGGGAGGTTTTAGAGCTGTATGAAGGTGAGTGTGAGAGATTTTTATAGTAAATTTGTGTTCGAAGAGGGTCGTTTAAAATAAGTTTACTTTAATTGTGCAATAAACCCTCTTTTAATTTTTCAAAATTTCATTTCTTAACTATGGCTTGTCTAAAACTATAAATACGAGAAATATTGTTGATAGCTCTTTAATGATCATTATTGCTAATCCGAGCTTATAAACAATGAGGTTTATGAAGAATATGAATTCACATATGGAATAAATATAAGAGAAATAACATTAAATCTAGTAATTTTTCACAAAGCGGTGAAGTCAAAATTATAACCTCCTTTACCTATTATAACCATTAAAGCTTCTCACAGAAGGAGGCTATAAAATTTTCCTTTTATAACAAGTAAGCCTCCTTCATCATGCTTTGAAAATATTTTCAACCTATTTTCTAAATACCATGTTTTGTATTAATTAAGACCAAGACTTTATAGCAACAAAATCTCTTTGAAGAGAATTCTTAACTTAAAATCAAACCATAATTATTATTCTCCTTGATTGTACATTTGGAATGTCAATAAACATGCAAAGAGGATGCCACTAAAATACCAAGCAACAACAATGGCAGACCTCTGATAGACTTAATAAGTTTGTGTTGAACTTACTTTCTGCAATCTAAGATATAATCTTGTAGTTTGGCTTATAATTCCTAAAGAGCCATAAGTTAAGCTATCTGGTTACTTTATAGATTCAGAAGATCTCTGATCAAGTAGGATCCTTCCAGGATTATATAATACGGTAAGGATTAATGCATGACAAAATCTAGGGTTTGATAATAATCTTAAAATAGAAATACAGTAATTCAGGTATCATCCAAATTTCTGGGGAAAATGTGGTGGATATATTGACAGGGAGACCAGGTTTATTTGAATTGTATTATTTATGTAGAGTATTTAGAGAACTTGTTATAAATTTCCTCTGTAAATCTCTTGTAGAGACACCTTTTGTCATCTGGGCATGTTTTTATAAAATCTCCAAGTCCATTTTGTACAAAGTAATAGAACAACTTGGCAATGTTTGCATCACGATATACTTCCTCAAACTTGCTATGAGAGTACTTTGTGAGTATTTCCTGCATCAGCAAAATCGACTGGTTGGAGTAATCGAAAAGCATCTTTGCTTTCTGAGTGTTTTTGCTCATAGCCATCCAACATACAAACTCATTAAAGCTATTCGTTGATAAGTTATTGTTGGAGGTTATAATATTAAGTTTAGTGGCTTCTCGTATCATTACTCTTTTGAAATTAGAGCTCCTGTTTTTGAGTCTACAAGGTCTTATTCTTTTAGAATCAAATAAGCGAACAATGAATCTTTTGAAGCCTCTGATGATTCTTTTATTGATTACGTCTTTTCTTCAGGATAATTCTGCTGGCTTGAAATTGATCTGGGAAGTATCTAAAATTGAGCTGACCATGATTTCATAGTTGGGAAGGCTTCTTGAATATTTGTGAGAAACAGAAAGTTTAGGAACTTTGTTAGTTAATTTCTGGATAACAGTTTCAGTTTCTCATCTATTAAGATCTTGTTTTTTAGATAAATTTGAGCCCTCTAAATTGCTTATGTTTCCTTTCCTCTTTAAATCATCATGGAAATCGATGTCTGCAAATTCAAGAGTCTTTGGAGGAATTATGCTCTTATCATCAAACAAGGAATTTTCTTCAGGCAAGAATCCTACATATTCCCTCTGTGCTTGTAAAAGAGGATGATCTTCCTCTTGATCTCTCTTTTGAATCCCTAGATCCTCGCTATCCCACTCATTGTTTCACTCTAAGAAAGTATGCTCTATTCCGAAACAATTCTGAACATCATCTAAACCACATCTCTCTCGTTGCAACTGCAATTGCATATCCATTTCAATTTATGATATTAGCCATGGGGTTTTGGGGTTTTGGGGTTTTGGGGTTTTGGGGTTTTGGGGTTTTGGGG